CCCAAACTAGCACTGAAAAGTGCTTAAAGTTACAACGGCCCGCCAACAGCGACAATGCGCGGGCCGGCCTGTTGATAACTATTTCTCAAAAAAACATAAAAATGTTCAAAAGTACAAGAAATCATTATTACTCACCGTTGGCGTGATGGTCACTTGATAGTGACACGTGCGCCTTCCACCCGCGCAACGTGTCGAACCGCCTGAAGCCGCAGCCGGGTATGCGGCACTCTGAAATGCACCGAATGAGCCCGTAGAAGGTAAGTAGTCCTTCATCCTACGAATTTTTGAATGCGCGAAAAGCAACTGGCAAAATTTGAGTAACATTTTAATAGCGTTTAATAATTACCGAACTGTTGACGACCGGCGTCGTTGCACATCCGGTACGGCTCCTCCACCGCTGCCCCAAGAGCATCATGGAACTGTCCCGGCAGTTCCGATAAATCGGCGACTTCGAATGGGGGCAGCGGCTCTTCCCCCGTCCTTCGGCCGATGCGCACCATCGGGACGGTGACGGTACGTGTGCGCCTGTAAAATCAACCATGGAGTTCAGTTTATCCGTTGCTTCTAAACGGAAAGTTTTTGCACCCGTTCAAAAAGCTACAGTAGGCATCACTTTCTCACAAATCCTCTCCCCTCCCCACTCGTTTTCGCACTTGCCACCGAATGGTCCGTTGCTGCCACTCACTGGCATTAGCCGTCTATCGGAAGAGTCACTAACATGTTCCCGGGGATCTTTGCCTACCCGTCTTGTTATGGTTCATCCTGCACAGCACTCGTAACTGTCTCGTGCGCTCTTAAAAAGCACACAAGGCATGCCGAGCTCGCTGCGTCAACTACCCTTCGCTTTTCCTACTGCTTATTAGGTCCAGAACCCTAAGCCATTCAATGTGATGACCACGGGGAAATGGAATGCTTTCTTTTCGGGACTCCCAGGACATTTGCGGGAAATCACGCTGACTTACTTCCTCCCCAATGGCGCTTTTGAGAAAAGCGTCAGAAACTTACAGATGGATTTCGCGCAGTTCCACCTCCTCTTCTTCACCATCATCCGCCGGCTGCTGCATCTCGATGGCGGCCTCTTCTTCCACGGCC